CAATCTACTTCTGTAGTGATACTGCCTCAGAAACCCAAGGAGGGGTCGCTATGAGTCGGGTCTGACTCAACGGCACATAACAACAACAACATTCTAAAGGCTTGAGGAGGTAACTGTGGCCTTCCTAACTGCCTCACATTTTGCAACTGCTCTTAAATAAAATTGAAGTTCAAACCACTGCTTCAGGTTTCCAGGTCCACATTGCCCTATCCAGTGAGACCAGGCCATAGAATGTACCTTAGGCTCTCTTTTCCCTTTCTCCTCTTTTAGTATTCTTTTATATGGGTAAAAGGAGCTTTGGTGGTGTAGTGACTAAAGCATTTGGCTGCTTGCCAAAAGGTCAGCAGTTTGAACCTACCAGCTGCTCCATGGGAAAAAGATGAAGCAGTCTGCTTCCGTAAAGATTTACAGCCTTGGAAACCCTGGAGGGTAATTCTACTCTGTCCTACAGCTTCTCTATGAGCCAGGGTCTACTAGATGGCAGTGGGTTTAGTTTTGGTATATGGGTAGCCAGCTCTACAACTTTTCTTACCTCTTCTTCCGCTTTCTTCTCCTTCCCATGTCCTTCTGTTCCTTTATCTTTTCTCATCTTGGCATCCTCTTTTGTGCCAAGCACACAGCCAGGTGCCCAATAGGAGCTCAATAAAATTAGATGAATTGAATTGAATCCAAAGTTGTCTTCTGAAAGAAAAACAGCATCTCCTCCCTCCCTGTTCCCCACCATTTACGCAAACTCATTTAAAACAGGTTTGTCATTTGAGGAGGTAGAACCCTGAGGGATAAAAAAAAGGAAAGAGATTAAGGGGAAGCTATAATGTAATTATTTAGCCATTAACTCCTTTATTTAATCTGATAAAGCATACTTTTCTATAAAAAAAAGAAATCATTACATTTGTAAGAAGGGAAAGAAATATCCCATATTATAGAAAAAGTTAGACTCTTCAACTGGAAAGACAATAAATGGACATGTCATAGGTGATAAGCAATATTGGTAAATTAAATAAGAGCTGAAACAAACCTTTCACTTTGTTATCAGCAAACTGAATCACAACAAAGTGAGGTCTCTAGAAATTTGTCAAACATTCTCATTTTGGTCCAAGGGAAACATTTCCAAGAGGCTACAGTAGTAGCCCTCAGAAATAAAAAACAGGCATTAAAATCATTTGGCATTTAAGGCTGGTTTGGTTCCATTAAACACATTCGTAAGATGTGCTTTCCTTATACCCATGACAGTGCTAGAGGCTATAAGCGATAGATAGAAATCCTTGAGGATTGTATGTCTTGATAGGAAGACAAGACTCAGAATGTAAGAATACACAACAGGCGAGGTAGGGAGAACTCATGCGTTAGAAACTGCCAGGCCACATCTCCTTGTAAATTACGTTACTCCTATTGATAGTGAAGTAGGGACAAATGTTAGGAATGGAAGTTGCTGGTCATATTCTTTTGTAAATTACTTAAATTACCTCTACTGATAGGAATGGGAGCTCTGGTAGCATAGTGCCTAAGGCACTTGACTGCTAACCA